GGTGGGGGGTCAATCGGGGGTCAATGGTAACATCGTTTCAATCCCACTCCCTCTACGTATCAGCAAGAATGATGGGAAGGTGAACCCCTTGCGTGTTTCGGGTCGTTTCGTACAGTACTGCTTTACTCAGGTACCCATTTGTTACTCTTTACATGAGATGGAGGAAAGGGGGAAGGGGGAGCAACGTGGGAGGGGATTCAACTCAAGAAGCAGAAGACGGCGCCAGGCAAATGGCTGAGCGGGAGCTCAGCGCACAACCTCTTCTGTTGTAGATGAACTTGCTGCAAAGTCTTTTTTCTGACGCCACTAAAAGAACAAAGAGAAGTGATCTTTGACTCCTCTACTGCGTACCTCTGCGTAGTTCTCTTCGTATCGGATCCAAGTAACGTCAAGAACACTGCGGGGATCATGAGTATCTTCAGCAAATACCAAACGATAGATGCAACATGTATGGATTATGTGCATCCTTGGACGCAATCTTGTGCCGATGGATCATGCTCTCTCTTTTTTCACGCCGTTCAACATTCTGGCCGCCTGTACTTCACAGTATACATGGTAAGATTCTACTGACTAGAGAATTGCTCTACATATTTCAGAGGTTATGTTGATGTTTGAAAGGATGTATATTTATGTATGGTAATGAGTTCCTTCTGGAATTTGACAATCTTTACACACCGTGATTTGTTACCGATTTTTTTTTATAATTTGCTTGAAGGATCCAAAATGTATCAGTGTGTCAAAATATATGCTGTTGCCTTCCAATCTGATATTTTACTCGTACATTCTCTTTTTCAGTTAAGTTTACTGATGCACAGGCGCATCCCTAGTGCCCAGAAACTTAAGAATACGTTCCTTGGAATATTGCAATCTACTGCATTTTTAACGGCAAATGCATTTGGTTATTCTCTTTCACTATGTTTCCTCAGGTAAATTGACATTTTTGACAGAATACTGAAAATATAGTACAAGCCTGTTTTGAACTAATTTAATTTTCTGTTTTGAGCAGGGCTATTATGGGCAATTTCAACTTTATGACAATTTCATATGTGCCATCTTTCATGGCAAGTTTAGTAGCAATTCTTGTGGAAAGACCGTCCCGACGAAGTCTTCTTACTTTGTATGTCACCAACGTGGTAGGTTTGCACATCAATGTGGAATAACATGAATTACTGGTACACCTCTGAAACAAATGTATTACATGCGCTTAATACAAATGTCTTACTTTTTTGCAGGCATCAGAAACTTTGTTTCGTATGGCAGTATGGAGAAAAATGGTAAAACCTATTCCATATGGTGATGTTATGTTATTTGCTACATCCATTGCTAGTGTCTTATATATGTATCGAAAGGGGCACAATAGCAAAGATGCCATTTTCTCAATGCTGAGGTAAGTAATATATCCAGTAGATTATCTTTTTTGTTTCTCTTCTTTCCTCTTTCATGCCATGAAATTTTATGAATTTTTGTGTGGTAGGGTTGTAATTGGACCTTATGAAGAACATGGCAGTGCCAGTGTTGATCCTCCTGCTAGTTCCGCCAATCGACCGAGCAAGGCAAAAGGTCCTCTTTTTGAATGTCTGGAGTCATTCTTAGCACCCTATTATAAACTTATGAAGAGTTTTAAGAGACATGAAACATGTCCTCACCCTTCTTCATGTGTGGGATATACAATGAAAGTGAGTGCTTCTTGTAAACATTAACAACAACAAAATTAAAATGATTACATAAACAACATTCTAAAATAAAAGTTAGCCTTTTAATCATGAAAACATTCATTGTCTTCTTTAGGGTGGTTTGAAAATGTTTGCTGTTGGTTATGGTCTTCAATTTTGTATGCGAGTTCTCCTTCGAGCGAAAAGATTGATGAAAAATCCATCACAAATCCCAGGAATGTTAATTGACAGGAAAATGTTAAGTCTTGGCTTATTCCTTGGTGGTTTCCCAGCCATTTTCCGAGTAAGTTAAAGTAGTTTTTAATTACAAATTCAATTTCTCTAGACTATATCTAAAGTTAATACCATTTGTATCTTATTTTCCAGTCTGTCTCTTGTGCCTTACGATGGATTCGAAATAAAGATTCGCCTTCCCATGCTACTCTTGCTGGGTTCTTAGCTGGATTAGCATTTGTTAGTTATCGTGATAATTCAGTTGCCCTGTATGCCTTCTGGAAACTGATGGAGGTTAGTTTGGAAATTTAAATCTCACTCTATGCAAGGCCCTTAATACACATTTATAGAATTATTTTTATTTTCTCAATTATTTTGTTACTTTTAATATACCAATATTTTAAAATGTAGGTATTGTACACACGAGCTGTGGCTCAAGGGCAACTACCCGAGTTACCTGGAGCAGGTGTACTTCTGTACTGTTCAGCAACTGCACTCCTATTCCACGCTGCCATCTGGGAGCCTCAAAACTTAAGACCATCCTATTGGGACTTCCTTCAAGGAATATCAGGGGGCAGGTGAGTATGAAATGAAATGTATTGAATATAATTTTGCATATGTACTATTAGAAAATTTCTTCTTTAACAGAGTATCCTGCATGTCCCGTGATGTTCTTGAATGTTTTGGTTTGGAGTCAAAGAAAAACCTAGAACTTCTTCTTCTCAAAAACAGGACAGATATCACCAAGTTCAAGTTCTAAGATCTTTGCTGAACAAACCAGGCAGCCAGGTAAATTTTTTGGTCCTCATCTGTGGTGCCCCTTATTGTTTATGTTTGATGAAGAAGCTTACAGCTTTTTTTAATTTGTATACTATAAATGGTGCGGTATCATTGGGAGTCTTCTGGGTTGTATGAATCTATTTTTTTTAAATAATTGAGTTGAATATTCTAGAAGATTATATTATATTTACAGGGTACCAATAGCTGAATGTTACTGCACTCATCCTTTCACTGATATTTTATGTTGTTTATAAAGTTGATGAATGGTGTCCTAGAGGTTGACATGTTCTGAGTGATACAGTATATCATGTATGTGCTGTACATGCAAATGTTAATATGCAGATTTTAATTAATTGCACACCTGTACCAGAAAAGAAACATGCAATGCAATAGCTTTCTGACTGTAGGATTGCTTCAGTCTTTAATTGTGAAATAAAGTTCTATTATTTAGGAGGTTTTCAGACTAATGTGCGCGTGGGCTGTGAATATTGTTGAAATGAAAGAGATACATTTTTGAAATGGATTGACAGTCATGTCTGGCAAAGTGATTTGGTTCATGATACCCAAAGTGTCAGTCTAATGATGTTTTTTTTTTCTTCTTTTTATTTTTATTTGCAAAGTCATGCCTCCTATTTTGTAAATTTAGAACAACTGTGGTATGTATTGAATGTGAGGGTTAACATTGAAATTACTAAGTAAGAACTGTGATCACAGAGTGTTACCACTCAAGTTTGGTTGTACCCCAAATTGTATCCTTTTCATCTAATTTAAGAATATTACTAGATTGTTATCTAAGCTTTGTTCGGAAGTACTCATTTCCAGGAAAGACTGATGCCACATCTTTGGTTGAACAATAATTTTACTTTTGCAGCAATGCAATCTCTTGCCCTCATTTTTTGAAGAGACTCTTTAAATCAAAATTGTACAGGTCGTTTCATAGGCCTCACATACTGTTTTCGTTCTACTATATTGCATGCTTGCTGGTTGGTTTGCTCACCCTTTTGCTCACCATGATGCCTTATGGGGTATGGTTGAGTTGACTATGCTCAATGATGAGAGCAGGTAGGCTAGCACGTTCCTACGCCTGTATGCGGCACAGTAAAACCCAAACAATCGACAGGGATTTTGGAACACCCTGTGTGTAGCAAGTTTTTCTTCTCTGCTCTTTTTATTTATTTTATTGTATTTTCAAAGCCGGAAATTGTTTAAAACTGCTTTTTGGAAATTTTTCAACTGTTTCTAGCAACCTTTGCGTAAAATTTCAGCCCAAAAGATTTTTAAAATTTATTTATAGGTCATATTTTTTACCTGATTGCTAGAAAGTGTTTTGTCTTCACAGAGTAGAGCTGTTAAAGGAGAACATTTACTCGTTTCTCTTGAGTGCATTGAGTCATTGTATTGCTACTTGTAGCAAAATTGTTCCATTCTGCAACATTGCTTTAGTCCAGTTGAGATTCATTAAGCTCCTACTGCCCATTACCCTGAAAATATTTTCATTTCCATATTAAACCACGCAAATAATTGTCATTTTATGATGTGACCTAAACTGACCGATTTACTGTGATAATAAATGTTAAATGTTATGCTTGTATATATATCAGATGAAATCTGTTTCTAATGGCCGAAAACTTTTATCTTCTGCCAAATTTAGATCCCCCTAAGCCCGAGTTTCAGGCCGTTCTTCAATGGAAAAGGTGTGGTGGTGTTGCAGCCTCTGAGTAATACTTACAATTCCGGGTAGCAGCACGGAGGCCAGGGAGTGAGTATACGCACTTTGTGTGAAGTGCTACAGAATTTTTCCATATACCTTAAAGCATAAGTCAAACTGCTGTGCTCTCTGGAGTGAGACATAAGGTACAGCGGGGAGGCAAAGGAAAGGCCAAAGTATTTCAAGTGTCGGACAAATGTAACCGTAACCCGTGTGACCATTCTGCCTCTCATATGGCGTTGCCATAATTGACCTTGCGGTGCTCATGGCGTCTGCTGCTGCCCCCCAGCCTCGCGGCCGCGGTGGTGGTGGGGTCCACAGTGGAGCGGGGGTCCCCAGGGGCGGCGCCGCCTGGTGCGGTCAGACAACCCCGTGATTTTAAAATGACCGTATTGTACACACGAGCTGTGGCTCAAGGGCAACTACCCGAGTTACCTGGAGCAGGTGTACTTCTGTACTGTTCAGCAACTGCACTCCTATTCCACGCTGCCATCTGGGAGCCTCAAAACTTAAGACCATCCTATTGGGACTTCCTTCAAGGAATATCAGGGGGCAGGTGAGTATGAAATGAAATGTATTGAATATAATTTTGCATATGTACTATTAGAAAATTTCTTCTTTAACAGAGTATCCTGCATGTCCCGTGATGTTCTTGAATGTTTTGGTTTGGAGTCAAAGAAAAACCTAGAACTTCTTCTTCTCAAAAACAGGACAGATATCACCAAGTTCAAGTTCTAAGATCTTTGCTGAACAAACCAGGCAGCCAGGTAAATTTTTTGGTCCTCATCTGTGGTGCCCCTTATTGTTTATGTTTGATGAAGAAGCTTACAGCTTTTTTTAATTTGTATACTATAAATGGTGCGGTATCATTGGGAGTCTTCTGGGTTGTATGAATCTATTTTTTTTAAATAATTGAGTTGAATATTCTAGAAGATTATATTATATTTACAGGGTACCAATAGCTGAATGTTACTGCACTCATCCTTTCACTGATATTTTATGTTGTTTATAAAGTTGATGAATGGTGTCCTAGAGGTTGACATGTTCTGAGTGATACAGTATATCATGTATGTGCTGTACATGCAAATGTTAATATGCAGATTTTAATTAATTGCACACCTGTACCAGAAAAGAAACATGCAATGCAATAGCTTTCTGACTGTAGGATTGCTTCAGTCTTTAATTGTGAAATAAAGTTCTATTATTTAGGAGGTTTTCAGACTAATGTGCGCGTGGGCTGTGAATATTGTTGAAATGAAAGAGATACATTTTTGAAATGGATTGACAGTCATGTCTGGCAAAGTGATTTGGTTCATGATACCCAAAGTGTCAGTCTAATGATGTTTTTTTTTTCTTCTTTTTATTTTTATTTGCAAAGTCATGCCTCCTATTTTGTAAATTTAGAACAACTGTGGTATGTATTGAATGTGAGGGTTAACATTGAAATTACTAAGTAAGAACTGTGATCACAGAGTGTTACCACTCAAGTTTGGTTGTACCCCAAATTGTATCCTTTTCATCTAATTTAAGAATATTACTAGATTGTTATCTAAGCTTTGTTCGGAAGTACTCATTTCCAGGAAAGACTGATGCCACATCTTTGGTTGAACAATAATTTTACTTTTGCAGCAATGCAATCTCTTGCCCTCATTTTTTGAAGAGACTCTTTAAATCAAAATTGTACAGGTCGTTTCATAGGCCTCACATACTGTTTTCGTTCTACTATATTGCATGCTTGCTGGTTGGTTTGCTCACCCTTTTGCTCACCATGATGCCTTATGGGGTATGGTTGAGTTGACTATGCTCAATGATGAGAGCAGGTAGGCTAGCACGTTCCTACGCCTGTATGCGGCACAGTAAAACCCAAACAATCGACAGGGATTTTGGAACACCCTGTGTGTAGCAAGTTTTTCTTCTCTGCTCTTTTTATTTATTTTATTGTATTTTCAAAGCCGGAAATTGTTTAAAACTGCTTTTTGGAAATTTTTCAACTGTTTCTAGCAACCTTTGCGTAAAATTTCAGCCCAAAAGATTTTTAAAATTTATTTATAGGTCATATTTTTTACCTGATTGCTAGAAAGTGTTTTGTCTTCACAGAGTAGAGCTGTTAAAGGAGAACATTTACTCGTTTCTCTTGAGTGCATTGAGTCATTGTATTGCTACTTGTAGCAAAATTGTTCCATTCTGCAACATTGCTTTAGTCCAGTTGAGATTCATTAAGCTCCTACTGCCCATTACCCTGAAAATATTTTCATTTCCATATTAAACCACGCAAATAATTGTCATTTTATGATGTGACCTAAACTGACCGATTTACTGTGATAATAAATGTTAAATGTTATGCTTGTATATATATCAGATGAAATCTGTTTCTAATGGCCGAAAACTTTTATCTTCTGCCAAATTTAGATCCCCCTAAGCCCGAGTTTCAGGCCGTTCTTCAATGGAAAAGGTGTGGTGGTGTTGCAGCCTCTGAGTAATACTTACAATTCCGGGTAGCAGCACGGAGGCCAGGGAGTGAGTATACGCACTTTGTGTGAAGTGCTACAGAATTTTTCCATATACCTTAAAGCATAAGTCAAACTGCTGTGCTCTCTGGAGTGAGACATAAGGTACAGCGGGGAGGCAAAGGAAAGGCCAAAGTATTTCAAGTGTCGGACAAATGTAACCGTAACCCGTGTGACCATTCTGCCTCTCATATGGCGTTGCCATAATTGACCTTGCGGTGCTCATGGCGTCTGCTGCTGCCCCCCAGCCTCGCGGCCGCGGTGGTGGTGGGG